GAACTAACCATCCACAAGAGCTTCATACCACTGGGTGTGGCATTTTTTGTATGAAAAAAAGAGAAAAGGCCAAGAATCTTAGCAACCATGTATTTGTATAAATAAATCATACCAGATAGCCCCTAAATCGCCAAGCAACAAATTCGGAGAAATCTTCTGGAACAAAAATTCATCTTGAAAAACTAAGTAATAAAGTAGGTTGGATTTACTCTGATCTGCACATCCCTGCCTAAGTATAAACCCCATGGAAATCAGTGGGAAATTTGAGATTCAATAGGCTCAGTTAGTGCCTTCTTTCTCTGTCTCCACAAGCAAGTTTATGTACATACATTACTTTTGTTGAAAGTGCCAGCAAAGCTAAATAGCCACAAGAAGATAATGTGAGTGCTTTTAAAGGAATGCTTTTAAAGGAGGGATACTTCAATTATGTTGATGTACTGTAATGAGAAAAGGAACGGCCTTGAGGAACAGCAAGAAAAGGCACTACTAAGACAATAGTCATGTAAAAGAAACCTGGGTCTGGAATAGAAATGTAATCTGAGGAAATTTCTCAGGGAAGAGCCTTGTTTGTACAGAGATAAAGAGAGAGAAAAGGAAAGCACATTCAGACTTGCAAAATTCATGTCAGTCCTTCAAGGAAGATCAAACTGGGAAATCAAAATCATGCAGGCTAATATTACTTTTATTATAAAAATGTAATAACGGAATTTTCTCTAAGATATTTTCTTAAGTGTAGTTCTGCCCAGACTCAGGTTTCTTTTATCAGACTATTTGTCTTAGTAGTAGCTCTTGTTCTTGTCCCTCAAGTCCATTCCATCTTCTCACAGCATGCATTAAATAAATTGTTCCTTTATAATGGTTTTCACTGTCCTAGTAGGCAACTAATTTTTCATAAGGAATGCTGGGCAGGACAGAAAGATTACAGGCTAAATAACTAGATCGGCAGGATTTCTACACTGTGGGAAACTCTAAAACCCAATCAACTATCTTCTAACATGCTAGGATTGAACTGGGACTTTGAGATAACAGGCCCTAATTCTTTTGTAAGTACTTCAGGGCTTTCTAACCTCTTAGTGTAGATTTTGACCTATTGAGGCTACCATCTGAAACATCATCTTCTATCATTAGTTGCTTTGATCTTTACAATCCATCAAGAATGTTCTTGCATTTGCTTAGCATCTTTCTTTGAGATGTTCTTGTAATTCATGTTCTAAATACTGATAATATCATTGCTGGAGTACAAAGGTTCAAACTAGTTATAGTAAGAGAGATCATTACATAACCTCCAGGAGAACATACAGCCTGTTTAAAGCTAATGACAACATATAATTTGTGAGTAGAAAATAGTTTTAACCTGTAAATGGAGTTGCTCTGCATTTTGATAGGAGGAACGATTATATTGTCTGCAAAACGAGCTAATTGAAAAATAATTACTAATTAACAATTACTTCTATTTTGATCATTCTGATAACACATTACTTTACACATTGTGCTAAGTCTTGTTTATTTAGTCATACTTTGTGGAGTAAGTCCCCTTTATTAGGCATCACCTTTATATTGAGCCATAAATCATGGTTTTCAAAATGCAATGGCTAGGTAACTTACTAAATGGAATTAGTACAAAACCTATCATGACCAGGGAACCTAGCTAATGGCTTATCATCAGAGATAGATGGTTATTATATATGAGGTACTATGAACTCTTGATAGACACATGCAATTTAGGATGCAAGCTTGAATATTCTTTATTTAGGATGGGACTAGTACAAATCAGGGTGGATAAAAATCAATGATTTTTTTTAAAAAAATCAAAAAAAATCAGATTTTTTAAAATTTAAATCGGATTTTTTTGATTTAAATCGGATTTTTTAAATTTTTATCGAATTTATTTTAATAAAAAACTTTTGGGGTAAAAATCTATCTTGAGATAGTTTTCTATTTAAGATACATAAATAATTTAGTTTATTCAGCATGAAATGGAGCTTAGTTATGTAGCATGAGGCTGTATATTCTGCAACACTGGGACTATCAGTGAGTCAACAGTGGGTCAAAAGAGCAGAGATGACAGTTGCTCTTTAAAAATTATGATTTAAATCGAGTTGATTTAAATCAAGCCTTTTTACTAAATCATGATTTAAATTGTGATTTAAATCAACTCGATTTAAATCAAATCCACCCTGGTACAAATGTATATTACTCATCAGAGTTATATATATATATTTTGCTAAGCCAACTTTGTTATTTATGGCAGTATTACAGATCAGTAGAGTAGAGAGGGCTAAATGCTTTGTACGTAAGTATTTGAAGAAAATATTATATAACACTGTAAATCCAATAATTCATTTCTGTAGTCTGGTTCATGAGTTAGTGAAGACAAACAAGGATACAACTGAGGTTTCTGCTCCAGATTTTTTTTTCTTACTGAATTTTAAACATATTAGAGTTCCTTGGAAACCATTTTTTTAGCTGCCAAGCTTCATTTAGTTGGACAACATCAAGGAAGTATACCAATTATAGATTTATATAAGATATCTTACTGAAGATAAATATGAAGTATATGAATCCATAACAAGAATTTCCAATTCTCATTAACAATGAATTATTTAAGGTCATGGCTCAATGAACTGAATAAGAGAAATGTTTGTTACTGGACTTTTATTTATTTTATTTTATTTACCCCACCTTTCTTATTTTTATACATAACTTAAGGTAGCAAACATACTTAATACTCCTTCCTCCTCTTATTGCTTTTTAAGATGAAATAAGCTGCCAATGGATTTACCTTCCCCCTTTTTATTGTTCTCTAGTATCCCGCTCAATCTCACATACTGCAGGTCATTTTTAAGATAAAAGTTTCTTTCTGACTGTTCTTATAAGGAGCTCAGATTAGCATTTCTTTCATTTCAACTTCATTTCAACAAGAATGTAGTGAGATTGGACAAGAATGTAGTGAAATTGGAAATTGGACAAGGAGATGCTTTCCCAAGGTCATTCAGTGAATAATAGGATAGAATATGAATGCAAATTCTCCAATGACCCATATTGCCTTCAAATTGTTACTGAAAAAACTCATCACTGTAGTGAAAAAATAAGAGTATAAATTCCACTCAATGATCTTAAATGTGTAAATGTCTGCAGTGCAGTCTGCTGTCTGGCTAATGTAACATAAATTAATAGTTACTAGAAACTGTAACTACAGGATATTAGTTAACTTTCAGTAATTAAATTGCTGTAAATTATTCACCAATTTACAGTCCTTATTGGTCAAAACTCTCTGAATTTTGTGATTGCAGTGCATACCACAAGAGGGCAGCTTCTACCTGTGAATTTAACCTACATGTATCCTCGAATTTTCAATGAAATTTTTTAAAAAGAATATTGTTTCTCTTCTGCGTCCTCAATTATTTATTTTCCATGCTATATACTGTATACACCAACTAGCTTCAAGAGAAAGGTTAACCAAGTGCATAATATTCAAAATAATGTACTTTGAATACTCTTAGTAATCAGATTATATGTATCAAGAAGAGAAAAGATGATATAATCCACATATAAAAAGTATAAACCTGTACCAGTAGCAAAAAAAAAAAAAGGAGCTAAATTTTACTTTGCAACATAAGGATTTATTTGCAACATAAAGGTTATTTATCAGGTATATTAAGTTAGGAGTTTTTATACGTTTGTTCTCTTTCTCTTCAAAGGATCAAATAATCTTTTAACAATCCAGTCTGTTACACGCTAGTTGCATGCTTGGACAGCCATGATGGCAGGAAATAACTTCATGGAAGGTTTTGCAAATGATCACATTTGCAACAGAATAGGGTGTGTAATGTTTGTCAAACACAGAGCAGCAGTCAACATTTAGTAGACATGGGGCAGAGTAAAAAATACTCCCCAAAAAACTAACCAGAAGGTAATAATTTAATTTTTAGATCAGTTAAAATCATGTTATTTTTATTATTATGACAATCTATGTATTTAATAATTTCCCCTTCTGTTACATTAAAATTAATGTATTAAAAATTTAAAATTAATACAGCATCATTATTTAAAGCAGATTTGGGAGCCAAGTTTTAATCTCTGGAGAGATACAAGCTGTCTAGGAAAATAAATACCAAGAACTTAGATTTATCTTAATTCCTCATGAAAAATGCTCAGCTAATTTTCAAGTATTTCCAAAGAATAAAAGAAATGTGTGCACTCAAGTTAAGAAATTTTATAAAAAGTGTTTTTACTTAACATGAACTTAAAACAAACTGGTTGAAATCTAAATATCAAGCTGTGCTTTTATGTGAGAGAAGGAAGAAATTAAGAAAAAATGTTGACGTTGCTAGATACCGTAATTCTTTTGATTGCCTCAATATTATGGGGAGTGGTATTATATATCCTTTTGGCCCTATAGAACTCTCTGGTTATTAGAATAACAGGTGGATAAAGAAACTGTAAGTAACTGAGAAGTCCTGACTTCCATTTTAAGAGTGACCTTTAAAGTCTCCACACTTGACTTACACTCTCCACTCAAGACCTGTCTTTATGATATTCATGTCTCAATGAAGACTATGTGAAAATGGGAGCCAAACTGAAACCAGGCTGTCATTTATAAACCTTCCCTACCTAAATCAATTTAGCTTTACCTTAGTTGGACTTCACAGCTGGAGACAATTCATCAGTACTTCTGACTGAAGAGCAGAGCTCTAAGACTCTTTTATACTCTTCTCTGATCAAAAGAAGAATACCAGGCAGAATTTACAGCTGTCAAATCCTGTTTGTGATGCTGTAGGAGACCCAAAATTGTGACACCACAGCAAACAAAACGGCTTTCAACTTTTCCAGGACATCCATTTTCCTGAGAGATCTCTGGGTGAAATTGTATGTATTTTCTCTGACAGTGATCTTTCAGAGCAAGTGCAAGAAAGCTCTTCAGTTACAGAAACCACATTTGGCTGAAGGTTCAAGGAGCTATTTTAGGATATAGAACGACTTCACTGAACCTCTATTTCATGTTATCGGTATCCAAGCTGATCTTAAATCTTCATTGTTAATATAATTCCTTATTTTTAATGCATTTATATCAAAAAGGATCATGGAAGACAACCCACTACCAATATTGACTTTGCCAACAGCACCTTACAATGATCAGAAACCAGGAACTAGTGGCTTACGGAAGAAGACATTCATTTTTCAGACCAAGCTAAACTACCTGCACAATTTTATTCAGAGTATATTTTTTTCCATAGACCTAAGAAATCGACAAGGATCTACCGTGGTGGTTGGAGGAGATGGGAGATATTTTAATAAGATTGCAATAAATCTGATAGCTCAGATGGCTGCTGCCAATGGGGTTGGTATATCATAAATATTATATCACTAATGCTTAATATAGGATTGGCTCATTTAGGGGCATGTCTATTATTTTTTGCAAATGTGCCAATATATATTTTTACTAGAATGATTATGTGGAGCTGAAGGACAGAATTGCTTAAGTTAGTATTGAAAACAATGATCTTTATTCCATGGTTTGCTTTGAAAAGTAGATGGAAATTATTGCAGATAAAAATATTTTGGTTCTTTGTTTTTTTGTTATCTACTGTGAATGACTGATTATTATGTGAATTTAATAATAGGTTCAGTGTTTGTGCTTAAATTAGGAAGTATATGACTGTTCGTGCATTTTTCCCTGCTATAGTTAAAATAGCCGAAATTCTTACTGTGGATCTGAGCCACACATATGACACAACAAAGCATGTGTTAAGTTTCTCAATGTACTGTACATAAATAGTTTTGTCAGAAAAATATTAGTGTGCTTGAAAACCATAATTTTGAGTACATTATCCCGTAAGCTTCAGGTGTGACAAAATTCCATTAGAGTTCTGCCTAAATGTAAGGTAAAAGTACTTTTATCTTTAGTGTCCCTGAGAAGTTTTTTAAAATAATATTAGAAATTGCACTTGAGCCTCGTGAATGCCAATTTTCCGCCAAGTGAATATTATTAATTTGGAAGGGAAATCATTCATACTTTTGAAACGAAATTATTTTATGTGAAGGTTTGCTTGGTTCTGCTTAAATTAGTTCAACAGCAAATTTGGATGGAAGCCATCTATAGTTTGAATGGCTCATAAAAGACAATGGCCAAGTCCAAACATATAAAACAATTTAACCATAATTAAGTCATTTAAAGCTTTTAAAGTTCTTATAGTATGAAGTTATACCAGAAGTTTTCTGTAATTCATTTTCAACATGCCAAACTACTGTAATGTTATATCTAAAAGGTTTCAAGTGGGGAAATTTAAAAAATCCAAAGGTTACACTATCCTTCATAATCTGGTGCCCTTTATATAGATTGCCATACTCTCTATCATGTAGAATGTTGTCCTCTTTGTGCTTCACTAAAGCTTAATTCTGATATATTTTGGGCATTTTAAAAAAGATGCATCTTTTTATCTTGGCTTTTCCTATGTAATATTAGTTTTTTTAAAATGCAGATACTTTTTTATTCTACAGTATGATTAGTGTAAACGTTTAGGATTGTCTTCAGCATGAAGTGGCACTTCAGATAACAAGAACAAATTCCATCCATATCAGTCACAGATTTCCCCAGAGAAAGGGTTTTTACTTTGTGTCAACTCATTTCTTAACGTTCCTGAATGAAAAAGAGGGTCTCATATTTTATAGTACTTTAAATCAGAATGCCCCAAAACTCAGCATAAGGTATAGAGCCCTCCTTTTCTCTGCCAAAACACAGAAAAGAGAAGAAGGATTTGGTGATGATAGACATTAAAGCAGCAACCACTGGATAGCTTTTAAGTCAGATCAGACATGTGGACCCCAAGTATATTATCAGTTTAGGAATATTAGAGCGCTGTTTCATTAGACAAATTGTCTATCTAATTCAGAATCCCATTTTTCAAAGTAGATTATTGAAACTTTACAAAGCATATATTGTTTAGGACTTGAAGACAGTAGCCATTTTTGGATGATGCTCTTGATAGCAGATATTCATTGTTATATTGCAGTAATTGATTACTTGGCATTATTACGAGTATTCATCAATAGCCATATTGTCCATAAATCTAGTAAAAGTGGATTTAGATATTTTTCAGTTAGTTTCTGATATTATGGCCCTTCAAGACATATTTAAAGGTTTCAAAAACAATTAAATAGCAGAAAAAATATATTTCATGTCTGAATTTTCAGCATCATAGAAGAGTGATTGTTAACAGCTGGAGTGAGTTTGGGTAGATAAGAGTGCTTTATAAGTGAGTTCTTCCATCCTTACAATATGGAAACCCAGATTGTGAATATCCTCCTTCCTGTTAGATATGACTAACAAGAAGCAGATTTCTAATGGCGGTATAATTGGTTCTTCTGATCACAAGGCTGCTAATTCAAAGGGAGAGGTAAATTACTATAACTTTCTGTGGCCATATAGGCTACCAATCCAATGCAAAAATCATGGAAAGAATAACAATGAGGCTGAATGCTAAATAATGAATGGACACACCTATATTTCAGATATTTTAAAATGACAGCCTAAAGCTGTTCAACAGGGAAGACTTTTAGTCTTGCACCTCTTTCAGTAAATGACCAGTTGAGTGTGGAAGTTCTGCTTTAGGAGCATCCGCATAGAGCCAACTGCTCTGCATCATTTCATTCTTCCTACTACATAAAGCTCATGTGGAGTTGGGAGTCTAGGAATACTGTAAATAAATATAAAATGGTTTAGGATGATATTTGAAGATGGAGAGTTGAAGCTACAGTGTCTTATTTATATCTGGAGCCCAAGGGACCATACATAGCGATCCCTCCTAGTTTTCCCCACCACTTGCCCCACTGTCTAAAATAGGTTTAGAGAGAATGACTGGCTCAAATGCATTCAGTGATCGTCCATGATTGAGGGTGGATTAGAAATTGTGTCTCCCTATTCCTGCATTTGCTCCCCGCATGCCTTAGGAACAAATTCTACATTGGGTTGTATTTTGTTCCCTGTTTTTTTTCTTGAAAATAACCATGCTCTTTACACAGATGTTGCTTAGTTCAGTCCTGCTGTTAATTTGTATCTTTTCTGACCAATAGACTGACTTACTGGCTGAGTTTATATAAGGTACTAAACTATGGTGACCTCAATCATTTGTTGAGTTGGTTTGATGCAGCAGTCCCTCCCAGAGGTAATAAACTAGAATGGCTGTATTGGTATATGATTTTAATGTGTCAACCTGGGCAATGTAAGCCAGCTTGCTAGGTTCTTGCCCGAAGGAGCAGTCAGCATCAAAGTGCTTCTCCTCTGAAGTAGCTGAATAAAACCAATTCCCAAGTTTGTCTCAGCAAATCCTGATCATGCAGAGATTACTACAGGACCTTTCCCCTACAGGATCTTTCCCCTATTTCAGATATCTACATTACTATATTGTGCTCGGGATAAGTGGTGGATGGGCTCAGTCATAATCATCCTATGTAAACAGGTAGTCCTTGACTTGCAACAGTTCATTTAGTGAGCATTCAAAGTTATCTGACTTTTGACCATTTTTCACACTTACAACCATTTCAGCATCCTCATGGTCACGTGATCAAAATTCAGAAGCTTGGCAACTGACTCAGATTTATGACGGTTGCATGGGGTCATGTAATCCTCTTTTGCAACCTTCTGACAAGCAAACTCCATTGGGAAGCTAGATTCACTTAACAACCGGGTTACAAACTTAACACTTGCAGTGATTCACTTAATAACTGTGGCAGGAAAAGTCATAAAATGTAGTAAAACTCATTTAACAGATATCTCGCTTAGCAATAGAAATATTGGGCTCAATTGTGGTCGTAAGTCACGGACTACCTGTAGTTGATTTCCGTTTGAATGAATTCCATATTCATTTTTGATCTGGATAATATTGTGATTCACTCTTCTGCCACTGCTGTTATTTTGTGAGCTTTAGTTTATTGCATACCCAATAAATTGTAATTTCCCTTTAGATATTTCATGCATTGATCACATTGATCAATCTGATGAGGTAGATCTTGACCTATGAATGTACAAGGCATTATACATTTTTAATCTATTTGGTGCAGACATTACAAAGGATTTTTCTTTTTTGTTTTTGTTTTTGCTTCACAAAAATTGAGCTAGCTTTGTTTAATTTTTTTTTAAACCCAACTGGCACCTGGACTAGTTATCCCTAATTAGATTTAATTAAAATCTATTGATATTGTGCCCTTCTTGGGAGATGGTTGCTATCCAAATGCATCTTTTGTTGGAAAGCTCTTAAAGTTAAATTGGGTAAACATATTACTTGAATGTCAGTTCTATGGTATCAATATATAGAAGACACAGCATATGGAATATGTAATTTTATGAAGGATGAGTCATATTTTCCAAATAAGATAATATTATCTCTATATTAGTTTTTTCCTGTTGATTCATTAATTTATATATTGAACTTTGTTGTTCTTAGAATATATGGATTTATATTGCCAGAAGTGATAATCAGTTAAGTAATTATATGCCTTTATTAATTTCTGACTTTAATTAAAATAAAACTTAATGTGACAGAATTCCCTTAGTTTGCATGCCTACACAGGAGAATCTATAATTAGAGTTACAATTATAGCGAGGTCCAGGAGCTGCTGAAGCCATATTTAGAATGTTGATCTACAGTTCCGGTACTTTCCTGTCTAATAGATCTTCTTCTGAAGAAGAAAGCATTTAAGGCAGCTAACTCAATTGGGAATCTGATCTCTACTGTTTAAGGTTGCAATAAACTGTGTTTCTGCTGAAAGGGAAAATGAGATATGTACTGTAATTTGCCAAAAATTCAAACAGTACCACATAATTCTAGATGGGGAAAAAATCCATCTCATTTAATCAGTAGATTTATTTTGAACTGAATCTCAAATATTCTTTGCCTTTATGGAAGATGCAACAAATAAACATTTCAGCTTTTCCTGAACATTATTTCTTATCCTACATAAATTTCTCAGGTGACCATAGAATGTTTTCACCTGGGTAGTGTGGATTTTTTTAAATTTGCAATTCAAATAAAAAATCCATGAGGATCACAGAGCATTGCAAATATTGTACATTTGTAAATATATTACATATACAATCATACACATGTCTTCAGTGGGTAGCTGGAGAAAATGAAGATTGAAATGTGCATGGCTGAAGTGTAAATTGTAAGTGACACCAATTTCCACCTTCACCATCCAACTTGATCCTAAATGAGAAAGTCATAACTTATATAGAGTCACGGCAGGCTATCCATATACCCTATCTCTTACAGAAGCCTCCTGAATACAGCTAGTTGAGTCGAAGTTCACATACCTCACACTCCACAGGTCCAGGAAAGAGTCATGGTGCTCTTTTTACTCTAATAGGAAAGCACCAGAAATACCAAAATAACTGTGTTTGTGCGTGCATGGGTGGGTGGAAAAAGAAACCTGCAAATATAAAAATATTTAAATGTTAAATGTCACTGGATATTTTTAAAAAATGCTTCAAAGGGTGAATTTTAAATTTTTTTTATTAATTTTGTTGCAGTGATTAGTGTGTATCTATTCCATTTGGGAGGAATCTCTGATCACTTGGAATGTTGTAGATTGAGTCTCAGACCCATGTGCCATCTTTAGCAAGTGAATAGAATTTGAGAATGGGGTTAAAAGCATGTCATCAGCATACATGTTCCAAATGGGAATCCATTCCAAGTGCCTGTTCCTACTGGCTAGCTTGAAACATAGCTGCCATAATTTTGAGGTCCCATACCCACATTCATGTGTTTACAGACACGTGAAAGTAAATTACCATCTTAGTTTATTTTATAAATGAGGTGTTGCTGCTTACTGTAGGTGCTCACAGATAAACCAGACAGGAAACAAGGATAAGCTAATTTTACTTTATTTTAAAGCTACATTAATAGAATCTTAAAAGTCTGAAAGTACAAAACTCCCAGTGACAGTTTTAATAGGCTGATCTATTAAGGCAGGTCTTCCCTAAATTTCTTTTTCTGACTATTAAGCAAGGGGGGCCTCCCCCTTCTTTCGACTGATCATTTCCTAGGCAGCAATTCTTTGCCTCATCCATCCTTCAAGGTCATTTTCACAGATTATTATATATCAAAAGTAAAGAATAACATGTTTAGCTTTGGAGAAGAGGTTGGATAATAATTTCAGTCAGTTTACTATTCTATATTGTAAACTTGTTTAGCTTAGGAGTATGCATATTTGGCATGAAGTTACAGCAAAGACAAAAAGAAATACAGTTTAATAGCTTAAAGCACCTATAAATGAAACATTGAAAACCCTGACTTTATCAGAGGATATTTTGATCATCAAAATTTACTTGAATAACATTCTCTTGGTTTAGATTACTAGAACATGAAGATGCTGTCAAATATCCAGATATTTTTTGAGCATATAGTTTTAGAAATTGAATAAGCTAAAGAATAATGCAAACTTAGTAACTGATGAGAGATTATGCCAGTGCTGTGAGTCCCTGGGTTAAGACTTCCTTCTTTTAAGGACAACCCATAGTGAAGAATAGAGCCTATTGTAGTAAAATTTGAGTTAAATACACAATGGTTCAAGTACATTACACAATACCAAATTTACAATATTATACAACAATACTGTTCCACTTAAGGACAGATTTTGTGAACAGAATTGGTTCTTAAACTGGGAACTACCTTTATAGTAACCAATGTAGTTATTTAAAATGAAGCAAATTTGTTGTGCATAATTTGGTAAATGGAACAAATACTTAAGATAAAGAAACATGTAAATGCTTTTGTCTGCCCAATTTTTTTAATAGGGTGTCAAATGTGAAAGAAACACTGGCTGTTGTAAAAGCTGAAGAAAACATTGGTAAATATTGCAATCTAAAAAAAAGCAACTTTTTGTGTCTTCTGACACCCTTTTGTGAGTTTTGCTTTTCTTCTGTTCTTGTTTTAGATTGGCCGGTTAGTAATTGGACAGAATGGAATTCTTTCTACCCCTGCAGTGTCCTGTATTATTAGGAAAATAAAAGCCATTGGTGGTATAATTTTGACAGCAAGTCATAACCCTGGTGGACCGAATGGAGATTTTGGCATTAAATTCAATACTTCAAATGGAGGTAAGTAATTCTAATCTCCTCATCTCCATTCTTCCCAAGTTAATTTCTCTCCTACTCTTATGTTGAGTGTGTAGACATTACCCACCTATGTTGCATTGCTGACTATGGTATGTTTATGATTTGGGTCTGTTGAAGAAATCCAGTGGGTTTCTAGAGGAAAAATATTTAACTGAAGGAAAGACAAGGAAAGAAAGACCTAAGGATGCAAGAGTAGCCTAGGCTACTCTTTCTGAAATGTATACTTTGTAACACTTTCTGCTAGAAATTATCTGTAATCACTCTTACTATATATCATATATTAATAAAAGGTGTTAGAAGCAGTGTTTGCATGTACAATTATACTCTTCCTTCCGCAACCAGTGATCTCCTGTCTAGGCTTGCATAGAAATAGGAAGTCCTTGGGGAAAAATAAAAAATTGTAGGAGAAAAATGTTGCATTTTCTCCCTTTCATTTTTCATTTTTCTCAATTTTTATGAACGTTACCACTTTTTCTGTCGCCCCTCCATGTCTAGTCAATTTTTCTGACCCTTTACAACTCTTAGGCCACGTACATATAGTCCTTGGGTTATAGCCACTCATTCAGCAACCATTCAAAGCTACAATTGCCCTGAACAAGAGGGAACCTATGACAGGTCCTCAAAGTTGTGGCTGATGCGGCGTCCCTGCGGTGACATGATTGTAGTCTAGGCACTTGATAAACGCAGCTCACGTTTACAATAATTGCAGTTTCATTCTGCGGTCATGTAATTACCATTTGCAACCTTGTCTGCCAGCTTCCAATCAAGCAAAATCGGTGGGGAAACCAGCAGGCAGTTGCAAGTCACTCCTGTAAATTGCTCTTGGTCCAGTCACTTTTTCTCCTGAGAAGCTCTCGGGTGGCAGGAAAATTTTATATTCCATGGTGTCTGCTAGCCTGCCTGCACTTGCCCTTACCATAGTACCAACTCACCTCCTTGTGCACCTGCCTGTACACTCTCTTGCCTGGTGATAGCAACTGTACTCGCACCTGCCCATAGCATCCACCCACACACTTGCTTACACTCCATAGTGCTCACTTACCTGCCTGTACTTCTTAGCTACCGCTCTGAGTCCTTCGGGGGAAGGGCGGTATATAAATTTAAATATTAAATTAAATTATTAAATTAGCTACCAACCTGCTTGCAAACTGCCTAAAAAGGAAAATCTTGCAGCAACCCCAACTTGTGACTTCTGACCACCTTCCACATTCACTTTGCTTGTTGGAAACTGGCCGGGAGTCACAAATTATGGTCATATAAGGTCTTTGCTTAATGACTTATGGTCGTTTAATGACCATATTAATGAGGATTTCTAGGTTTGCCATCCAATTGTATTTTATTTTATTTATTTTATATCAAATTTATATACCGCCCTTCTCCCTGAGGACTCAGGGCGGTGTACAGCCAAATAAAAACATAGACTACAAACATTAAAATACTATTAAAAAGATATATATAAATTTGGCCCCGTAATTAAAAAACAATGACAAACCAATTAAAAACATTTAAAAGTGTTAAGCCAGCCCGGCTTGCTGAAAAAAGAAAGTTTTAGGGCACGGCGGAAGGCACCGAGGTCTTGGATTCTCCTTATCTCGGGGGGCAGTTGGTTCCAGAGGGTAGGTGCCCCCACAGAGAAGGCCCTCCCCCTGGGGGTCATTAGCCTACATTGTTTGGCTGATGGCACCCCGAGGAGGCCCTCTCTGTGGGAGCGCACAGGTCGATGGGAGGCCATCGGTAGCAGCAGGCGGTCTCGAAGATATCTAGGTCCTATGCCATATCACGCTTTACAATCATATCCCTTTGCTGTAGAAATTTCAGAGCCAATTACTATTGAGATCTGAGAGCTACTGTTCATTAACTTCAACAATACTGTAATAGTGTCTGTTTCTAAGATCATAATCATTTCTTGCTTACCAAGGCACTTGCTATTGTCCTAGAAAGAAACCAAGTAGATCAGGGGTGTCAAACTTGCATTGTCACAATATTGTCACGTGATGTATTGCAACTTTTCCCCTTTCGCTAAACCAGGTGTGGGTGTGGCCAGGGCGTGATGCATCCAACCTGCAGGCTGCAAGTTTGATAGCCCTGAAGTAGATTATATATTTTTAAATAGAGATCTAAAACATGATAGGGTTGTAATAATGATATAGGAGAGAAAAATTCAGCAGAATATGGACAAGCGAGGCCACTCTATAACCTGCTGTAGAAGTTGTTGCTTGCACCAAATTCCTCCTGACAGGAATTCAAGCTTTAATAAACTATTATTTCTATTACCCCCTCTCCTTGTTTAGCAAGCTAGTTCCATTCCAATGACCACATTTTTAATTAAACTGGTCTTTAAGTGAACACTGACAGAGAAAGAGGGAAAGGCTATGAAGATCACTGATTGCTACCAAGTCATTCAGATAAATTTCTCTTGTGCTGCTGTGCTGGTATTATTCTTATACTATCATGCATTGTTGTCAGGCACACAAATTTAGTCATAAATGCCTGCATTGGTTGTAAACTGATTTTTATTACCATTTATTACAGTTGTATTTGCAAATGGTTGCTAATCAATGTAGTCACTAATTAAGGAGTGGGTGTATTACTGTTCCTATTACTCTGAATCATAATATTAAAACTTTTTTTATTATAGTTGTTTTTGGAATGTGATACATTAGCTCTGTTAAGTTTACATACAACTCTAATAAAATGTCCTCCACTTAACATCTTTTCTAGAAGTCTATTTGTCTCTTAAAATCTATTTCTTATTAGGTCCTGCTCCTGAAGGAATTACTGATAAAATTTTCCAAATTAGCAAGACTATTGAAGAGTATGCTATATGCCCAGATCTAAATGTCGACCTCAGTACAATTGGAAAGCAGCAGTTTGACTTGGAAAACAAGTTTAAACCATTTACGGGCAAGTAAAATCTGTTTTTTCCCTCATTAAAAGGGTTCCCGCTTGCATCAATAGCTTTTCTTTATATTTATCAAGGCGCTTGTTCAATAGCAGCAGATGCTTTGATCTGATTAATTTCTTCAATTTAATTTCTTGCTTTTGTTTTTCAGTTGAAATTGTGGACTCCGTAGAAGCTTATGCAAATATGTTGAGGAATATTTTTGATTTTAGCGCACTGAAAGAACTATTGTCAGGTCCAAACCATCTAAAGATTCGGATAGATGCTATGCATGGAGGTATGTAAGATAATGTAAGTGCAGTCACTGTAAGCACTGACTGCCAGTCTAACCCATAGATCATCCTGCAGTTCTTTCCTTTTTCATATGCTTGGAAAAAAACTAATCTACATTTTCCTGTAGATTGAAATCGATCTTACATAAGTACATCTCTCACACACACACACATACACACACACTCCCATTATGGATAAAGCTTATTTCTCTTAGAGGTAGGGCAAGGAAAAGTTAGTTCATTTCCTTTGTGGCATCATATGCTCTCTCCTTGATGTATAGGGATTGTCATTTTGTTTTTGTAAATCTTATTGATGGTATAGATAGAAAGTAATAGCAGAGCCACACTTTGTCTTTACTGTAAACAATAACACATTGCATATTTGTAAACATTCAGTTTTTCATATTTTTTATTGATATGGGAAATCTATTTGACTATCTTAGAAATGAAAACTTAATGGATATTAACTTTTGAAGCTCCAACATGTCTGGCTGGGTAATTACAGGAGTAGAAGTCCACAAGTCTTAAAGTTGCCAAAGTTGGACACCTCTGCTCTAGAGAGAGAAACATTACAACCTACTAGATTTATGCTTATAGGCCTTCAGATATAAGGGGGACATGGGGAAAAGACGTTGTCATTAATATTCCCCAAAATTCGTCACTACTTTAAAAATGATAATCTCATGTGTATTTTTCTTTTTTGCTGAACCAGTTGTTGGCCCATATGTAAAAAAGATTCTCTGTGAAGAGCTTGGAGCAGCTGCTAATTCTGCTGTGAATTGCGTACCTCTTGAAGACTTTGGTGGCCACCATCCTGATCCAAATTTAACTTACGCTGCCGATCTGGTACAGACCATGAAGACAGGAGAGTATGATTTTGGTGCGGCCTTTGATGGAGATGGGGTACGTATGTGCTTTTTGGATTTGTTTTTTTCTTCCCTTTTGCAGACATGGACCATGCCAGGAAGTAGATTTGGATATATAGTTCATGCATACCTAAGTAGTGGGACTGCCTTGATAGGAATAAATTGAATTCCAGTTGATAGCTTTACATGATAGTGTTGTTTGGGGAAACATGTTTGGTATTGAATGTTGGAAAAGTATTCACATTTAACAGGTGACAAGCTATGAGCGAAATCATAATTATCAGCAAGTTATAAATTAGATTGTGTTTGTCTGCATTAGTTAAAGCTACCATTCATGAGAGGCAGGGTTTGGTGTTGCTTGAAGGAGTGGAGGTCACAACTAAATTTTCTGAAGAGTATCAGAAGGCAGGATGGTGACTCTTTGGCTTTCCCAGAGGAGCATGGCTAAAATATTTGGTTCTTCTTTGGAGAGAGTTAAGGGCAGGATGAGACTAAGAACCTTTCAGAGGCAAACCATTCCCATTAACATCCTTAAAATCATTTAAATTTGAACCAAAAGCTTGCTCCCAAAGTTCAACTACGTTGCAACTGAATTTCAGCAACAGGATCTTTGGATACTAGAAGACCACATTGTCACAATTGTTTATTTAAACAAATTATTCATTCAAACAAATGATAAGGCTTCCCATCTTGCTGCAATAACTCTGAGCAGCTACAATTACCAGTCCAGGATTACTTTATATCTAATTTACGGCAACCTTCTCTAACTCACTATTCTTAGAACTGATATGGCTGCAAGTGGTTTTAAGTTTAGGATAGCTGAGTTAAAGTCATGGAGTTAAAAATTTGGAATCTGGATATTTCCAATTCCTATTATATTAAAAACCAAGTCTAAATAGAACATTTTTCAAAGAGTGCTGCTGAGCTGTCACAACTCCTTAAGGAATAAACACTGCATTAATCAATCCTGATAGTTTGTGCCATTTTCCATGTTTTTCATTTGGGAAGGAAAGTGCCATTCCAGTTACACATGCTATTAAGTGAATCCCTGCTGCTTTTTTCTTTTTTTACTCATGTTACCAGTGGCAAAACTGGTCTCAAACCTAAAATCTGCAGTGCAAATTTCTCAACATTGCAGGAGAATTGCTATTCATTATTCCCCTTTTGTCTTCCAGCAATATACAGTATGTAAAATTAATAATGACATAACATTGCCTTAATTATAGGCTCCAGTGCTCATAAATCATCTAAATATATGCATTTCAATTTAAAGATAGGGCTTCTGTTCTCTAATAGTGGGATAACAGAATTAAAAGACTGCAAACAACATCTGCTGAAATTTTCCTTTACAGACGATTGTTAAAGATGGGGAAGTTCCAATTTCTTGTTTATGTATTTACTTAAGGCCATTATCATTTTGTTCAGCGAGTATGAAAATACATTACAAACTAAGCTATAAAATAACAGAAGAAGTTATTTACCAATAGAAAGGAATATTTATATCTCAGGGTTAACCTCAGGGTACTTGTTGCTCTCTGAATTTGGTAGTTTTCTTGGAGATGTTTCCAAGAAACATCTATTCTATTACCAAATTGAGCTAGCACTGATGATATTATCTACTGTGGTAATGAAACATCTGTAAAGAAACAACCAAGCTCAGAGAGAACCAAAGACTCAACGTTACTTACTTTCTGGAACTATCATAAAATAACTGATTTAAAATGTCTAAAGAACCATTCTGAAGATTAGGGCGTTTTTTTATATAAAGGAATTGACCTCAGTTTTATAGCCTCTGATTACTTAAATTGGGTGCTTCTTTTCAAATTGCAGACATAGCAGCCTAGGAGACCAGTTAGAATATGAAACCTTTCAACAAGGTAATTTCTGCCACCATTTTTTTTAATGCCTTTATTAGGATCGCAACATGATACTTGGAAAACATGGGTTCTTCGTGAATCCTTCAGACTCGGTTGCTGTTATCGCTGCAAATATTTTTAGTATTCCTTATTTTCAACAAACGGGGGTTCGAGGATTTGCCCGAAGTATGCCTACAAGTGGAGCAATTGACAGGTAATTTTATTTTAAACAAGTAGAATAGCCTTTCTTATTGAGCTTGATTACAAGCTGGGGCTGAGCAACAGGATATTGATGGTCCCATCTTTTCCCATGTATCTTTTAGCCAGTTTAGTCTTGCGTTTAAGGAACCAGGCTAAAAAAAAGTCTAGAAGTTCTAGACCCATCTTAGATATGAATGCCGGCTGGGTGACTTTTTGCCAGTCACTCTATCTCAGCCTAACCCTCTTCACAGAGTTGTTGTTGTGGGGAAAATAGGAGGAAGGAGTATTAGGTATCTTTAATAAAATTACTTGTTTAAAAAAGGCAATCTTAGAAAATTAAAATTGAGGCAGGGGCATCCACAACGAATCAAAATCGCAAATGTGCAGAAGGTTCCTTGTACCTGACCAGAAGATACATGCAATTTTCATTTAAGAGCTACACCATCGAGATTAGCTTTCCCCAGCTCAATGCCATTTCAGATGTGTTGGATTACAGTTCCCATTTTCTAATGGCCAACCATTGTTCTGCTTTGGGGCAATGGGTGCTCCAACCTATTCAGAAGAAATCAAGTTGGAATAAGCTAATTCCATGCTCAGATTTAGGATGGTGAAATTTTCTCTTTAAGGTGACTTAAGAATGAGGTTCCTTAGCTGTGACTATTGGGTGTTTTTAATATTATAGTGCCACTAAATCATTGTATGGTTTAACATACCTGAATTGAATTCATTAAAAATTTATTAATTTAAGATTTTTGTGCGGAGAAGTCCACCAAGAAGGAAAAATGTTAGAAATAAAAATTAGGTACATTTGGAAGAAAATGAATAATAGTATTATTGCTAAATATATTGGAACAGATCTTGGCTTCAGGAACCTGGATGGACAGCCAGTGAAGTTATGACCTTTTTCTTTTCTTTTTAATGACAGAACTGGACAAATAAACTACTTTCTCCAATTTCTTATGTAGCTTCTGTTCCTGAAATGTAGACAAATGGTTAGCATTCTTTGAAATGTGGTTTCCCTCAGCATTGTGCTTTAAAAGTTGAAATGTGGATTGCATTCAGTTTAATGCTGGCTACCTAATGACTGAGTACAATAAATATGAAAGGGATGACTTCTAAAATGGGATTTGTGATCTTGTTTATTAAATAAGATGTCCAACAGAAGTTCCTGTGTTTCATTCATCAATAACGGTGCTATTATTCCTGTCTTTTGAAGGGTGGCCAATGCTACAAAGATTGCTTTATATGAAACTCCAACAGGTTGGAAGTTCTTTGGAAATCTGATGGATGCAAACAAACTCTCTCTGTGTGGAGAGGAGAGTTTTGGTACTGGTACGTAAACATTCCTACTATTAATTATTTTTGTTACAACATTAGTACCTCATATTTCTTCCCAAACAAGACCTCGAGACTTTTAAGACCAACAGAGAGCACATTCATGTAATAGTGGCTAGGTTTACACATTGCAAGAAGTTCAACTTCAGTTCCTTTGGCTTATCAACCAGGTGACAGGTAAATCCAGTCAGTGCTTTTTATGAAGCCTATTATGTGCTTTTGCAAGCTATCTGAAACTAGACAGGACTTGTACAACAAACTATTATTACTGCAAACCAGATTTTACTGTAAAGTTTGAAAAGCATGGCTTGGAGGTAAAATGCAACTCCCTTTTGTGATCCCTTGATTGGTGGACTCGATTAAAAGACATTATAAATGTGCTAAGTACTGCCAAGCACTGCTTTTACCCTTGATGTCCCCCTACCCCTTCCCAGTTGGGTCCTTACTCTTACTGCTTTAGAGAGTGTAGTCCTTGACATGCCACTCAAAGCCTGGTGTGGCCCTCAAGCCAACATAAGTTGTTCAGCCTTAGCTTAGCATGACAGATGAATTTAGCCACTACCTGTGAAGTAAGACAAAGTGGTGGGCTGAGAATAATGGATTCAAATCTGTTTTACCCGATCAACAGAATTTAGATTAAAGATGTTTCTGTAGAGTAAAAATTATAAGTGAACTAATTTGTTCCTCTGAAAGCTGAATTCTTTGTAATAGCAAATAAGGCATGAAATCTGCAAAATATTAGTTCCCACATTATAATCATACATCTGATATTTGTTAGTGAAACATTACATAGCTAGATTTTCTATTTGTCTGAATTTTTTCTGTAGTAACATCTACTACTACTATGTGCTTGGATTTTGGGGGGGGGGGAGTGGTGGTGGGGGTCATTCTGTTTCAAATGTGGAGAAAGACAAGCCTAACATGTGTTTATTTATAAGATGTACAGTATATTACCACCCATCTTATGCAGTATACCTGTGGATGGCTCATAAACCACTATATAAACATAAAAGTCAGTATGGAAAATTTCTGGCATCAAAATATAATCTTTCTGTGCTCCAGCCTCATTTCATCCTAAATCTTGTGGGAAACAACAGGTCTTGATGGCTTCTCAAAAGTCCACGAGGGGAGAGTCCTACCAATTCTTAGGGGAAGGAAAAGCTATGGAAAAGGAACAACACCTAGGTCCAATTATATGGCAATATTTGACAGAAAGGACCTGAATCTCATCCACTCTATCAGATCTAATGGAACAGGCACATACCCTTAGGAAGAGGTGTCCCACAGATAAGTTGGCCCTATGTCATTCAGTACTTTAAAGGTGGTCCATACCTAGTGGGCCATCTACCTGGGGGGCCACAGGTTATCCAATCCTGCTCTGTTCCATCATTCTTTACATAGATGAAGGATTGATCCCATTTGTATGCTGTTTATCTGTCTGTGTTGCAGGATCGGATCATATTCGTGAAAAAGATGGCCTCTGGGCAGTGTTGGCATGGTTGTCTATTATAGCTACCCGAAAACAGAGCGTGGAATCAATCCTGAAAGATCACTGGCAACAATATGGGCGGAATTTCTTCACAAGGTAGTAGATCAATTTCATAGAATTGAGATATGTTTAATTAGAATGGATAGAATCTCTTAAATTCAGCTTCCATGAAATAATACAATTAAAGGACACACATTCTTAGGAATCAAAAATTCTATTTTTAAACTCTGTTATGTAAACTGAATGCAGAATTTGCTGTTTGAAAGTAAGATTCCAAATTAGAGATATAGAAGCTTTGTGAATGTTTCAGGTTCCCACAGTATCCCAAACCTGCTTTTCTTCTATCTGCTGTGGGTTTCTGATTTTTATCTAGAACTATTGGATGTTTAATAAAAAAAAAACCAGCAAAAATTTCACATTGCAAAATTTTGTAATATCAACATGATTTTCTTAATTGTCCCATTATTGGAATGGCTCAGGAATTCTGAAGTTGAAATCCACAGGTCATAACAGGGCCATAGTTTCCCACCCCTGCTTTACATTAATTTCCACCTACTACAACTCTGTGATGATGTTACAAAGTTATGCACTGTCTTTGTAGAAGGTGGCAGTCATAGGTAACTCCAAAGATACATGGAGAAGATACATGGTTTGTGGATAAGAGAATTTACCATGTAGTCTGCTCGTTCAATGTGACTAGTTTAGGAAGCACAATGTCTGCAGAGTGAGAGGTTTTTAAAAACACAGCATACCTAATACTTCCATTGATTAGTTCCAAGGGTCCCCTCCCACTTTGAAGTAATGGAGGTGAAGAGGTCTCTAAATGTGGATTTTATCTCTCCCCATGGATTCACTTTCTTAAATTTCCTTAGCTTCTTAATGTTGGTCTATATATTTGTGACGATGAATATAGTGCATATTTCAGCAGGTTACAGTGCCTGGCTGATCTCATCTTACCTAGCAAACTAAATGGGGAGAGTCTTGCATGGTATATGAAGAAGAGACGACTAAGGAATCCCAGGGCTAGAGGCCAAAATGAGAAGCTGAAACCTGGATGAAGGCAACAGCAAAGCGGGTCTTATTGTTCCTTCTTACTGAAAATTACATAGAAGTACCCATACTTTCACTTGGAGTCAAGATCAGTTTGGAAAAGGCTTTACCAACAATTACATGCCAAAAGTTGCCATTATATAGACAGATTCTTTATTACAGTCTTTATTCTAGGATGTAAAATATATGGCAAACATAAAACTAATATTTATGAATTTAAGTAAGCATATCAGTCAAATTGTTGCACATTGTACACATTGGCATGACAAAATTTATGCTTGAAGAAATTGAGTGTCTTTTGAGTCAGAAAGTAAGAGTTATAAATAAAACTTATAGGAATGGCCAGGGAATTTAGTTCAATAGGAATGTTGGCTGGCAGGCACCAGGAGACGTGCTTTCACTGCTGTAGCCCCTGCCCTTTGGAACATCCTTCCTTCAGAGACTATATGGCCCCAACCCAGTTGGCCTTTTTCAGGGCCTTAAAAGTATGGCTAGTGCCCAGGCCTGGAATCCCAAATGTGTCAAGGACACTGTTTCTTAGCTGTACTAACAATTGTACTCATAATTCTGTCAGCTATTGTGTACTGTATATTGATTTTTTTTACTGCTTTAAACTGTTTTAATTGTTTTAGAATTATTCACTGCCCAGAATCACTATACTGACATGGGAGGCTATACTAATTAGTTAATTAATTAAAATGTACGCATATATATATACAGATACACACGTGTATTATGTGTATGTATATGAGTGTTTGCATACGCTAAACATTTTCATCTATCTTTTTTCAGAAAATAATCACATGTGACTCTAAATTTAATAAATAAATATCCATGAAATTATCTTATTCAAACTTGGAACACAACAACAGCTAAACACCAGTTTGCTGAGAGAGAAATAAGGCCAGTGGGATACAATTCTATCATTTATTTTAAATAATGCTAATTAATGCTTCATTTATGACATTGGTCTGCAGCATCCTAGCTCTTCCCTTTTCTGCCCAAAAAGAGGAATAAATGATTGCATATAAAGTTCTAAAACAAAACAGAGAATTGGATGGCCGGTTGTGGTCTGAGTTTTTATGGTCAAAATTTCCTGACTATTCCTAGATATGATTATGAAGAGGTGGATGCTGATGGTGCTAACCGGATGATGAAAGATCTAGAGACTCTGTTCTTTGACCGATCCTTTGTGGGCAAGAAGTTGTCAGCTGGTGACAAATCATTTGTTGTGGAAAAAGCTGATAATTTTGAATACAGCGATCCTGTAGATGGAAGCATTTCAAGGAATCAGGTTGGCAAAATGTTTAAACTGGAAGCTTTAATATCGGGGGGAAATGTTCTTCTTTTAGCAATATATTTAACAATGTTACTTTTAGCCCTGTGCATACTTTAGTAAAAATTAAACAAAATTCAAATTAAGTTATTTTTATTCGCAATTGCTGTAAAAATGAAAAAAAATTACCTCAATTTTTTACCTGTTTAAAGAATTCAGATGGATGGTGATTATGATGATAGTGATGATGATAATTTACAGCATAGTAGAAGCACTGATAATTATATTTTGGTGTTTAGAAATTAATAAATGATTACTAATAAATCGCTTTCTATACATGTCACTATTGATAGCAGTAATTTAGCAAAACAAATCATAACACACAATATTTTAATATTCATTATTTATTAGTATCTAGTTGGCCTTGACTGATATTGAAAAAAACTAACAAAGTTGGACTATCAATATGAGAACAGAAATTCACCTGGAGATTCCAGTCTATAGACTAGGCTGGAGATTGGAAAAAAAGTAAATGCTGACAGATCCATATTGTTCCCATCAACACATTGATATTGACAGCAGGAGGTGAACTCAACGTAAGGGAGATGTTACCAAATTCCTAGCAAAAACAGGAACATTTTCTTTGCTGTGATTGTGGTTCTATTGTTTATTTTAATTAAAGCATGGCTAGCCTTGGTGGCTTATTCTGAAAGGATATGGCCAAGATAAATTATATCTATTCATTGCCAGGATCCTATGTTTGCTGAACTAATTTGATCCAAACATGTAAATATATTTAAGAAATGTAACTTATTTGGAAAAGAATGGCATATAAAATACTGGTACACAAATTAATGTTTAATTCCTACATGTTTTGAAGCACTTGCAGCTCTGCATAGCAAAATAAAAATTAGGATCTTTTCTTTTCAGGCATATTATTAAGATTGTCTTATAATAGCCAGAAGTCAATGAAAGTCAAGTAGTCTTTTTATAGAATAGATTTCAGGAGCCCTGAAATTATTTTTTCTTTTTCTTTTTCTTTTTTTTTCTTTTCAGGGTTTGAGACTCATCTTTGCTGATGGTTCTCGCATCATTTTCAGACTTAGTGGTACAGGAAGTGCTGGAGCAACTGTACGACTGTATATTGATAGCTATGAAAAAGACGCACCAAAAATATATGAGGATCCACAGGTAGGTTGAATTGCCAAGCTGTGTCATCCTTTTCAGTTTTTTTCCTTAGATCATCTTTTTCATACATGTAAAACCACTGAAAATGTCGTTAGTATCAGAGTCAGGAGTCCATGTTACTTAAATTATTGGGTCATAGATTTATTGGCCGTGCTGATGCTGTAATTCCAATTTGTAAACATTCCTGTTGCAACCAATGGATCAGTACTGCAAAGAAAGCAGACCCTGAAAGCAGGGAGAAACTAGGAAGAAAAATAAAGGAATTAGGACTCATTTTGTTTTGTGAGGCATATGAAATATTAAAGGCTCCTTTTCTATCTCTGATTCCAAGACGTACTGTATGCTGAATGCTTCCAGGATTCCTCTTTCATAGTGTGAGAATTTGAAACTTGTTTACCGAATTAAAGTTGTGCAGGAGTGTTGGCAGGGTGTCTGCAGGATCTGGTCAGAAATGTCAAGGTAACAGCCATGATGTTGTCTGATGCTCATTAAAAAAAGGGAAACTTTGATTACAGTCATGGCTACCATCTTTGACCACACCCAGCAGACATCCTAGTGTGACTGTGTCCATGCAGATTTCTAGAATCCTAGTTTGATCTGAAGAATTCTGAAGAATAGCAAGTAGATGGTTGTAGGAGACAACCAGGCTGAACCTGAGGGTGGAGTTAAACACATCATCAGTTTGGAGTCTCTATGCCTCCATCAGAGACCCAAGTGCAGCCCCCCTGCAAAGTCCATTGACTCTTATCTGGCACTAATTCACCTGATCATTAGTGAGTCTTATATATAGGTAGCATGAAATATACTCGTAGTGTTTTGAACTCCACCCTGGCTCCTGAGTTCTTGAAGCTGACATTGGTTTCCAAAATCTTGTCCAATGTTCCTCTTCATTTTTCTTTCTCTTTTTTTTTGGTAGGTCATGTTGGCTCCTCTCATCTCTATTGCACTGAGCCTTTCCCAGCTTCACGAGAGAACTGGCCGCACAGGACCTACCGTCATTACATAATGTAACACTTGAAGCCATCTGAATAGAAACGGTTTGGGTAGCTGGCTGCTCCCCTTCGGAATCTGCTAATCTTACTCCCAATTATCTCCATTCTCTCCTTCTCCCCACCTTAACACTGTATCCAAAAGCATTACAATCTGCTAAAAGGGTAGACATGTTATTACAAGTTTACACTAAGTGTATGCTGATATACATTCTCTTTTTAGTGTTATCTATTACCGATCTATGTTGCCTTTTGTTTTAAGTAATCATGGAAAAGATTACTGTATAAAAACAGCAGGACTAAATAACAATATAACTTTATTAGGTGTGATTCAAACTGCCTCAGCACACAATTCAGATGTGTATATGTATGTGGGTATGTATCCATATATTTGTGGGCAACATGCAGACTTGTTAAGTTTTGTCCCTCTAAAATTGCAATCACTGTGAATTGATCCCCCTGAAATGAATACCTATGATTTCCTGTACAAATATTCCATTGCGTCTTCTGGACAAAATTAATCATCAATACATACAAAATTAATCATATTAAATGAAATAAAGCAGTGTAACTTGAGTGAGTTCAATTTTCAAAAAAAGAATTATGGATTGCGCGCATACGATGCATTCACCAGGATCTCTATGAAAAATAACACCCCCGGCTGCCAGTAGAGCAAAAAGCTAGAGATGTTTATTTTTTCAGTCTGCATATTCATCTCGTGCATTGCGGTTGCTTGTCACATTATTATTTATAACATACCTAAAATGGGCTTGGCTTTCACCAAAAAAAAAAAAGTAAGGAAAGACATACGTATCTTCACATGCAAGTCCCAGCCTACAATCTCATAATCTTGGCCTTTGCTTTACTGGATGAGATTATACATAGAGATATAGTTATTCTTCAACTCCCATTATTTTGTACTTTCTCCTATCCTTTTACTGTTCAGATAGTTCCCATCGGATAGTGATGCAATTTCTCATTTCCTCCACACTTACTCATGTTTAGCTTTGGCTCCTTCTCCCACCCTTTCTTTTTTCAGGAGGGAATTTTGCGGAGTAATTGTGCGGATGAAGTTACCCAAAGGAGAAGAAACCTTCGTGAAATTATCCTTAGTAGGCAGAGAATGAAAGCATCGGTAAACATGGTGCTGTATTACTTTATGGGATAAATGGCACTCTTGTGTCTATGGAAACACAAGCCAACTGGGTCATCCAGCTCATGGTTGGCCCAAAGGTGCTTTTTCAAAAGGCAATTGGACTTTCAGTTGCTTTTTGAAAACGCACCTTCGGCATTCTTGGTACAGTTATAGCTGAACTGAGCTGAATCTATGCAATTTGTTGCCTCTAATACACACATAGATGAACCTTGTCCAGCATCCAAATGAGACAATTAAGTAAGAGGTTATGTGACGAGTAGTGAAGATGTTGGACTAGGAGTGGGAAAACCCAGGATCTAGTTATACTCAGTCGCAGAAGGTCACAAAGTAACTTTGGGCCGGTCACTGTCTCTCAACCCAACTTTCCTCATTCAGTTGTGCTAAGATAAAATATAGGGAGATCCTCATACAGGTAATCCTCACATAATGACCGCAATTGGAACTGGCAACTGTGTTGTTAAGCGACCTAGTCATTAAGCCAGACACCACATGACAACGACTTACAATCTCACTTCCACTATGATTGTTATGCAAATCATCCACCGTTATTAAATGGGATGTCACATGATTATGACTTGAGATTTTACTGCCAGCTTCTCCATTGACTTGTCGGAAGCCAACTGTGAAGCATTCAAACGATGATTGTGTGACCACAGGATGCTGTGACAATTGTAAATGCCACTCAGCTGTGATGCACTTGAATCTCCATCATGTGACTGCAAGGATACTGTGACAATCGTAAGTGAGAGGATTGGTCCTAAAGTTACTTTTTCAGCACTGTCATGACTTTGAACTGTCACTAAATGGGGCAATCATTAAGCGAGGATTAACTGTAGAAGCCAGTTTGTAGAGAAAATTTGGGATAAAAATATAACAAATACAAAATTATAATAATAAAATATTATTGTGAGAAACACTATCAGATTGCACAGAAATCACTACTCTCATGATGCTCAAATGCTTGGTTTTGTACTTAAACAGCAGTTGCTATTGAATGCAAAAATCATATAATAATTACGACAGTAACATTAAATAACAATAAGAGCATAGCTGTTTGTTAAATCTCTTTTCATTGAATCTGATAGTAAAATGAAGGCATGCCTTTTGGAATCTAATGTCTAAGCTACAGAAATGTTTTAGAAAGGATTTGTTATAGATATATACATACTGGAGAAGTTTTCTATTTTTACAATGCAACCTGTCATTTCTTATGTGCAAAGGATTATCTTTTTCCTGTCAGTTGGTGTTTGGACAAAAGATGTTACATTTGCTAGCCCTGAGGGATTATTCAAATAAGTAAATTTATTTTATGCAAGGTGGTTCGTGCGTGGGTGTGTGGGTGTGAGTATGTGTGGGTTTGTATAGGATCTCCAATCCCCACATTAAAATAGACACAACTTAATTCTATAAGTTGTCATTTTTCTTTCTTAATTTTTCTTACGTTTATATCCCTAACTATGGAAATATATACCTGCCATATAGATGCCACACGGTAATATTATTTCATTATAATATTTTAGAGAGTCTCTGGTATTTTATCTTCTTACTAAGCTACATAGAAATCAAATCAAACTTTTATTATGGTCATAGACCAGTATACGTAGCTAAACTACAGTATGTTTAATGAATTTGACACATCCCTTCCTATCTCAACATTATGTTCGAAGTACAAACCAAGTTAAATATGGACAAAAATGGATTCTGATGTTTTGAATTGATATATAAACAAGTTGCTTGTGTGCTTTAATATTAACAAGTTATGTTGGTCTCCTTGGCCATAATAAAAGCTTGATTTGATTTGATAATATTATCGGAGTCTAATAAACACTGTTCTACAATTCTTAGCATTATTAATATTAACTATTCTTGTGGTTTGGGAATTACTTCTGTTCATGAATCTACTGGACCAGTTGTCTTTCTTGTAGCCACTGGTGACTCATTGAAATAATGCACACAAACCAGATAGAGTACACAATGAGGTCTTCAAATTCCTTTGTACCAATGGTACAATGTGCATTATCCATGGGTTTCTAAGTCCTGCAAAGGAGCAGAATCATTCCTTTCATTTTTATTTAGTGACATGTTCAAACCTAATAATAAATGGTAATATATATCTCACTTCATTCTGACTACTAATAATGCAAGTTGCAATTACTTAACAAACAAGCATTTACCTAGGTCAGTGATGGCTAGCCTTTTCTTGACCGAGTGCCCAAAGCATGCACGTGCCCGAACCCCCAAAATGCAATGCACGTGGAGGCTCTGCACATGCAACCCGCGCCCTGCACATGTGCGCAGCCCCCTGCACACCCACCACCCCCCTTCATGCACCTCCCCCCGTGCACAAACACACACCCTGCCCCCTGCATGTCCCCACCCCTCACATCCGCACATGGCCCCCGCACGTACCCCACCCCCCCACATGTGCGGCAGAGACCCGAAGACCAGCTGGCTGGCAGGTGGCACGTGTGCATGCACAGCGGAGCCAAACTGGTATGCCATCAGAGAGGGCACCGCATGCCACCTCTGGCACGCATGCCATAGGTTCGCCATCACGGACTTAGGTAATTGCATCATATGATGCAATTAGGGAATGTTCTTTTAAAGATATTTCAAACTTACAATCAGAATGTTAAATTTGTTTGGGTCACCTATTGACCAATTCTAAACATTTTAATGCTGTGACATCATTCTAATTTAGTTTAGGATTATATGCCTGTTTAAAAGGAATTCTCATAATGTTCTAAGTATTGACAGGAATAATTTTGCAACACTCACTTATCCTTAAATATATTTGGATGACCTTTACTTTTATAAATGATTTTCTGATCGGATGATGACCAGCACATTACTTAATACTGATGTATTCATCTTTATTTTTTTTGTACCCTGAATTACTTAAAATCATTCTAGCATACAGTATTCATATGAGTGAAATAAACTGGAAGCAGAACATAGCATCATGATTCCAGTTTAAGAACCACTCCCTTCCTCTATCCTCCTTTAGGAAAAGATTAATAGTTTAGTCTCCTACATGCTGTCCTTTCCAGGAAAAACCTGCATATTCATATATAGCCTGCAGAGGCCACTGTGATCCCTGTAGAACTTCTGTGTTTAGTATCCTGCATTTAGAGTTTTGGTGATGAACAGGGCAATAATCTTAAATCGCTGCTTCTGTGTTGCTCCTTCCAAAAAGTAGATAATTTTTAGGTGGGCAATGACTCCGCAGTGGGCAAAAGCAGACTAAAGAATGTGAAGTCACTTTTTTCTTCTTCCTGTTTTTTTTAAAAAATTTTGTTTTCTTCTTCTATATGACAGTCCCTTTTCTCTTATTCTCCTTTTTGTCATAAAAGTGGTCCCTGGCTTACGACCACAATCAACCCCAACATTTCTATTGCTAAGTGAGATATTTGTTAACTGAGCTTTGCCCCATTTTACAACCTTTCTTGCCATAGTTGTTAAGTGAATTACTGCAATTGTTAAGTTAGTTTCACGACTGTTAAGTGAATCTGGCTTCCCCATTGATTTTGCTTGTCAGAAGGTTGCAAAAGGGGATCACATGACCCTGGGATACTGCAACCGTCATAAATATGAGTCAGTAGCCAAGCATCTGAATTTTGATCACATGACGATGGGGATGCTGCAAAGGTTGTAAGTGTGAAAAACGGTCTTAAGTCACTTTTTTCAGTGCTGTTGTAACATTGAAAAGTCACTAAATGAACTGTTGTAAGTAAAAAAAAAATTCAAATTCTTTTAAAAGTATTTCTTCCTTTATTGTTCTTCCAATGAAGTTCACAAACAGCTAGGCAAAGGAAAATCACCTTTATCAGTATCTACTTGTAGAGAATTTTAGAACAAGAACTGCACTGTCACTCTAAAACAGATTTCAGGATCTCTGTTGCAGAGTTGTTCAGGATCAACCTCTATCAATATTGAAAAAGGAAGCACAAAACCTAACCTGTGTGGCATTGAATATCCTACTTCATCTAACAAGGTGTTTAGCCTGGATGAGGCTTAGAATTGCTGACACCTACAGCAGGGGTGAAATCTAAAATTTGTTACTACGGGTTCTGTGGGCGTGGCTTGGTGGTGGGGGTAATGTGACTGGGTGGACGTGGCCAACTTTCTTTTTTCTTTTTTACTTTTAAAAGCATTTTTTCTACAACATCTTTGGCTGAAGATGTTGTAGAAAAAATGCTTTTAAAAGCCTCTGACGATCCCAGCTGAGCCACGTGATCATCAGAGGCTTTTTTTTTTTACTTTTAAAAGCATTTTTTTGGTCGAAGAGGTTGTAGAAAAAATGCTTTTAAAAGTAAAAAAAACAGCCTCTGATGATTGCGCGGCTCAGCTGGGCATGGGGGGGATGCAGGAATTTTTGCTACAGGTTCTCCAAACCACCCGCCGCTATCGCTACC